AGCAGCTGCATTCTGGCGCGATAAGCTCTATGTTTTATATTCAATTAACGTATGATCTGATTTAGTCGACTAATCGAAAAAATAAAGGGTGATTAATCAACTATAAAAATAATCATTTGTGGCAGCCCTAGTCACAAAACCTACAGTTTACTAATCTTACCACCTGCTGAAACTGTCTAAAAATACAGCCAACATTTTAACTCTTCCAGTAAAGATGAGAAAGGGAAGTCAAATAAAACTTATGGAGATAGTAAAAGAACTTGTGGAAATAAATGGGATAATTTTGTGAACACAGGAGACGGCCCAGACAACTGCTGGCTCTCCATTTCTGTCATGATGATGATGATGATGGAAGCCTTTATTGTCATCGTTTGCACAGTGAAATTACATTTAAGAACAGGAGGGAGCGTGTCTCGGCTGGGCAGTTTAGGGGCTTGTTGTAGCTGTCTGTTGTAAATGTTGRTGGTCTCAAATTTTTAAAATTGCGCTTCTTCTCAGTTAACAACAGAAATATCAGATCTTTCTCCTACACTCCTCCATCATCAGCTAAAAATGAACACCCACTTTGCCAACTGTGCTCCCAGTGATTCAGCTGATTCTGTTTGCTTGTGATGTGTGCTGCTATGTTATGTTCTCTCTGTGCATGTGTGGAGTTTCTCCAGATACTCTGGTTTCCTCCCACAGACCAAATACATGAATGTTAGGCTAACAGGATAACATATAATGGATAGATGAATGTGCTGGATTTCTCCCTCACGGTTTCTTAATGAGTATGAACACTTCATGAGAAAAATACCTCTTAAACTGTGTAAATAGAGGTCTGTGTTCTTATGTCTTGTTGAAGTGTAGTGTACGCTTTGTTAGGTTAGCAGAGTGATACAATAATGTTTTTTTATAATGACCTAGACAGGTGGGGGAGTAGTGGACTGGTATAGTTGCTGGTAGTGGAGTGCTACGTTACTTATGCTACAGTGGGGTGCGAAAGTTTGGGCAGCCTTGTTAATTTTCCTGATTTACCTTTTATAAATCATTGATTGTTTGGATTTAAAAAAATCAGTAAAATATATCATAAAGAGGACAGACACAATGATATTTGAGAAGTGAAATGAAGTTTATATGATTTACAGAAAGTGTGCAATAATTGGTTAAACAAAATTAGGCAGGTGCATAAATTTGGGCACTGTTGTCATTTTATTGATTTCAAAACCTTTAGAACTAATTATTGGAACTCAAATTTGGTTTGGTAAGTTCAGTGACCTTTGACCTCCACATACAGGTGACTCCAATTATGAGAAAGGGTATTTAAGGGGGGCAATAGTAAGTTTTTCTCCTCTTTGCATCTTCTTTGAAGACTGGCAGCATGGGAGTCTCAAAACAACTTTCAAATGAGCTGAAAACAAAGATTGTTCACCRTCRTRGTTTARRGGAAGGATACAGAAAGCTATCTCAGAGATTTCAGCTTTCAGTCTCCACTGAGAGAAACATTGTGAGAAAATGGAAGACCACAGGCACAGTTCAAGT